TATATATACTATGGGGTGCAATACACGAGTTAGTCTTATTCATATAGTCCAACCAGAAAGACCGACTCGGGCCGGGCTATGCAAAGGTGAGGGTGAACGCCTTGCACAACCCACTAATACAGCATACACAGGAATCCCCCAAGCAAAATAAATTCAGCTGCATCTGACTCTGATACATTAAAAATACATCTACTTTAATTAAGAGTAGCCCGAAATACGGTCATTCAAAGACCACAGTGACGTGCCCGAGGAGACGTGAGTCCCACGTCGCCTTAGTAATGAAGGAGTTATTTATGTCGATCAGATCGTTGAACAACAATTTGAAAGAGTCAAGAAGTAAAACGCAATACAAGGTAGTCCATTTTTAGAAAAGAATAAGGGTACGGTAGGGCTTGCCAAACTTTCACGTACAACAGTACCTGTAGAGTACCTCTGTGAAATCATTTATTTTATCAAAACTGTTTGAAGCGTAATTCCAATGATTACTTTTAAAGCAAGTCAATATCCCATTGAAGTGAAACGAGAGATGAAAACCTAACGGAGTCATTCACAGACTATTTTTCGTTAATGCCAATCAAGTTTAAACAAGCCAAGTACATTATTTGAAAAAAGAAGTGAAAACTAGGGTTCATCCTGGTAGGATTAAAATGAAGTCGCTTGGGATTTTTTTTTGGGGGGGTCCTTTTTTTCACCGGACACCTTCATTTACATTAGGATTGCGTCAGAGTCTAGTCACAAGGTCGAGCGTGCTCGCTGCTGTAAAAGAAAGGTCAATACGGTTGCGAAGCTGTGTGTGTGTGTGTGACAAGTAAAGAAACCGGACAGATCAGGAAGGAACTTGCTGTCGTAGGCCAATTCGGGTTCTCAACAACTCGTTTTGTAGGTCAAAGAACGGATTTTTGAGTTCGACAGTTTCCCCCAAAGCATTAGACAATGCGACATTTTTGCACTGTCTGCACAAGTGAACGCTTTTCTAAAGCCCTACCCCCCCACTAAAATACCCCCCGCCCCCCATTACTCCCATCCTTATCACCCCAAACTTTGCCCCAAACAGAAAGATTTTTTTTTAAAAGCCAGAAACAACTGACAGTATTTGAGGGTCATGCTCATGAATAGAAAGCTGAACTGACAGTATTGCCCGTCCTTTGTGATAAAATATAACACATGATGTAATAAAATGTAGGCCTACTTCTTTTTTCTACAAAATCGAGCGAGAAATAGAATCATTCAACTGTAAATTTATTTTATGTTTTTTTATGTTGTTGTTTTTTTGGTTAGAATTTCGATATAGAATCTAACCTTGTTCCGAATTCGACATTAATTTTACAATAAGCCGTAACTGTCAATAAGTAAATTATCGATCAGGCTAGGTGTTAGATCCTTCCTATTATAAGATCAGGGGTGTGGCTGAAAGACAGCAGTAAGAAGGAGCCAAGGAGCAGCAGTAGAAAGGCTGCAGAAAGGGCCAGGAGCCCATAGGAGGGGGCAAAGGAGGTGAGGGTGGGAGCAGAAAGTGGAGATAAAAGCAGACGACAGAGCATTGTTAGAGAGCAGGAAAGGAGTTGAAAAGAGACACTTTTAGAGAATAAAACAGTTTGTCGCTGTCCAGATTCGAACCCGGGACCTGCTTTGAATAGGAGGCGGCGAACACTGTTAACTCTCGACCACAAGAGCCCCCCCAATTTCTCGTTTATAAACGTATTAAAAACTTTTTGCTATCGTAAAAACGATATCAAATTTGGAACCAGCGCATCAAAATTGATGATTTGACTGTTATGGCGGATGACTTTTTCTGGATTTTGAAGATCGTAAAAACTAGGTATGTTTACCAAGATTGCATCATGCATTATATTTTCATATTACAAAGGGGACGGACAACTGTCAGGTTTAAACTGAACATGTGATACCCCC